TAGGAAGAGTTCATGTTTCTAAACAAGTATTTAGACAGCTTGGTATTAAATGCCAAAAGTACCCAATACTACTCATGTCTGTGTTTCCACAGAATGTTTGATAGTCTAACACTCTGCTTGGGTGGGTTCCTTGCCTCTAGCTTTCTTTCTTTGAAAATAATGTTTTTATTTTCTTTTGCCCTTTCTTGGTCTAAATAGTTTCATATGCTGCTCAATAGTGTTCAATGAAAAAAGTAACGTACCTTGCTGTGTATACATTGTATGTAAATAGTAAAGTTTGTGCCTGTGAGCAGAGAATTTTAGATAATTGTATACTATTATATGGAACAATATAGAGACTGGTGCTATGAACTATTTGACCTAATGGGCAAGTTTCTTCCTTAAAGCAGTTAGTCCTTAATAGATTAGAAGGCACTGAGATGATAGTGCAAAAGTTCTGTAGAATCATAGTGGATGCTCATGAATGTTCATATTAATAAATCATGATGTCCAGGCTTGTCATTGTCCTCTTTGTTTCACTTAAAACAGCCCCTACTTTCAGTGTGAATAAAAAGTCAACTCCAAATAGTAGCAATGCATTTGACCAGTCAATTGTTGAGTTTATGCCAATTGGTTGGTGTATGCGCGCGCGCACACACACACACACACACACACACACACACAGTAACACATTTGGTAACATATTGTATGTTAGCTTGTCAAACGGAAATATCTTAGATGGCAATATTGGATTCCATTAAGACTTAGGACCAATTCCCAGTTTTACAGGTCATACAGAAACTCAAAAATCTATTAATGTTGTAAATGAAACAATGTAAACATGTAGTAGAAATTCTATAAGGCTTTCTAAAAAAATCCTCCTCTCTCTCAAAAAGCCTTCTTCATACTAATGTTGGGGTGGCACTAATTATAATCCGAGCTCATTCTATTTTTTCATCAGTAAAACTAGAAGCAGCTGCAGCTTCCTTTTATCCTTAAAGAAAAAAGAAAAACAAACCTCACACATGCCACATAACTCAGCAGCTGAGTTAAAGTTTCTTGTTTTGAGCTGGCCACTACTACAATACAAGAGGATGTTTGTGTTCTGCAAAATTTCATGTCCATCCAAACACCTCTGTATAGGAATGCTACATACATATAGTTTACAACTCCAGCTCTGCAACCAAAGAAGCACACAAAACTCCATGCGATCACAAGTGCAGTATTAGAAGAACTATGCTATTCCACCTGTTCTTTTTACTGCCACCTCATGGGTTTTATTAGCAGTGTTTTCTGCTAACAGTTCAGTGTTCGCTGTAGTGTTTACTTTTGTCATTTAAAAAGACCGCAAGGATGCATTCACCTTCATGATTCGTTAACTCAGAGGCGAGTGGAAAAAAACCCAACCTGAATGCCTTTTACATTATGTAAACTGAAGTCTTTAGATAAAGTGTCCAGCTGAAAGTAGAATCAAAAGGTGTTGGAATGCACTGCCATCACCTGCTCCCCTTTACTGGTACTTGGCACGTCTGTTCTTCATTCAAGATTCCTGTAGTTTGTTTAGGGAATGACTATCCTGAGATTTTAACTTATAAGAGTATTTGAGCAACATATGGGGAGTGAGTGCTTGCGATAGCAGCCAACAAAGGCAAGTCATTGGATTCAATCCTAGAAGTTTAAGAAAAGGAAGAAGGCTTTTAAATATATATCTATCCACCTTTTACCGGAAAAAAAACAAACAAAACAAAACAAAAAACGAACAAACAAAAAGTTTCCCCCTCCCTCTCCCACCTTCCTAATCCACACCAGAAGTAATTGGAGGTCACTCCCTATATCACTGGTGATTTAACAGGCTGAAGTGAGGTCTCTTATTAAGGGTTCATTATTTTTATTATTTGACCATTCATAGCATACCAATAAATGTACAGTAGTATATTTTCATTTGTAGATTTTTACAAAATAAGAGATCAGTGTTATCTTGTGTCATGCATTATCTTTGCTTGCTTTTAAATTCTTCGCTAATTCACAAAATTCAGTTTGCAGCTTCTTCCAAACCATTAGTGTGAAATAATCAGGTTCTACTGCATTAGTACCACACTAACACCAGTTTGAAGAAAATAGTCAGTTTTTCACAAGTGTTATATATAATCAAAATCAGACAGGCTCAGTGTTTCAGCACCACAACAGCTTTGCACCTCCTGAGACAGAGGTTCATGTTCTTAGCACTCCAGGTAAAAAGTTAAAATTTATTCACCCAGGCTCTACAAAACTCAAGATTCCACAAATTGAGACTATGGCCATAATAAACAATTTAACATTCCAAAGGCATATTGCATCAAAGCCTCAGTAGATGTTTTTGACAACAGATCCTGATCTGAACAGCATTACAGCTGAAGTTGCTTGACAAGAACACATACCCACTCTGCAACCAAAGCAGGAGTAGAAAAAGCACGGCCCTGTCAGTTTCAAGTCACTTCAGCTATGGCGTTCAGACCAGGATATGAGATTTGATGAGAAACAGAATGGAACACCTCATATAGCTGGGGGGAGGGAAAGCTAAAGAACAGGGAAAGCAAAGAGTAAAAGGAAGGAAGTGTGACTTAGTGGCTAGAAAACTGGACTGGGACTCAGGAGACCAGATTTCTATTCCTAGTTCTGACACCGGCATGGTGGGTGACCTTGGACAATTCCCATAACCTCTATGCTTCAGTTTCCCCATCTGTAAAATGAGGATAATGACATGGCCTCCTTTGTAAAGTGCTTTGAGATCTACAGATGAAGAGTGCCATGTAAGAGCTAAATATTACTATTATTATTAAAACACTGAGAAATTGCAAGCTCTTTTGTTCTGTGTTTGTACAGCACGCAGCACAATGGGGTCCTTGTCTATGATTAGGTTCCTAGGTGCTACAGTAATACAAATAATGAAAAACAATAAATGTAGGATTGACAGAGGGAGAAAGACAGAAGAAAAAATGGACACAGTCTCTTCATTTGGCTGTTGGACAAGAGAAATACAGTGAAGGTACAGAAAGGCTAAAAAGTGAACAACTGAGAAAAACTTCACAAAGAAAACCAAGTCATGCACCTTAGTGACTCTGAGTTACTGTACATAACTGATTAAAAAAAACAAACCCAAAATGTCACACATGATTAACAGCAAGAAGGCTAGCATGCATTTTTAACAGTTAAAGCTAATTAGTATCAGAACTGATTTCTGTCTTATTTCTGAAGATGGGCTTTTAAATTATTGTAGAGAACAAAATCAGTGGGAAAGGGGAGCGGAGAACACAAGCCAGTCTGACCAGCACACTGAGAACAGCTGTGTGTGTGTGTTTGGTCTTCAGGATGTAGACAGGTGCATGTGTAAAGGCTGCATGTAAAGTGAGTAAAACACACTATTATGTATAGTTGCTGAAAGGAGAACACCCGTTCGTGTCCCCACACCTGCCTTTTGTATCCAGAAAAATGAATACTCCTGACCCAAAACAAACAAACAAACAAAAAAAACCACAAACAAACCCCAACACCCCAACATTTGGAGGCACTGCTTCTGCCCACCCTGAATACAAAAGGGGAAAAAAAGATCGGATTGACTGATAACAGAATGGGACTTTGCCTGTTTGCCCGACAAACTGCTCATGAAAAAAAACGTTAATTTTTCTTCAAGAAAATAAGGACCAGCTATGGTTCTTGATGCTAAATTTTAAACAGTTCAATTTGACTTCCAGATAGCTCAGTGGCACACATTTTCACACTTGAATTTAGCATCTCTCTCATATAAAAGCCTAGAGGGTAGTGAGAAGCAAGCCTACTCACTGAACAGTGGGGTAGCATTTGAACTTCAAGGGAGTTTGGTCAATCTTGCCAGCAGTTTATAGCAGCTCTAAAGTCTTACTCACCCCAATACAATTCCTAGCTCTTTTACATGAACTCTTGTATGTCCTCGCAGGTATTCCGAAAGCATTTTGCTTTTGAGGTACATCTCCTGTAGCCTATCCTCAAGATGCATTATGCACTGTAAAAAACACACCAGAAATTTCAAGAATCTATTTATTCATGTGAAATCATTGTAAATGTGTAAACTCATAATTTTAGCTATTATACCAGGAGGCATGATGTAAGTTTAGTGTAACTTAAAAACCCCAAAAGAACAGGCATAGTGCTCTTTGCAAGTGGCCAACACAATCATAGCAAAACGGATCATTTTTCAGAGATTTGGGTCAGGCTATCTTTCCTGGCTAGCACTTTTGTTGCAGTCAACCAGCCATATCCAACTCCCACTGTAGTCAATGACAGTCTTTTCACTAACTTAAATAAAAGCTGGATCTGACCCAAAGACATTCAAGGCATCTAATTAAAACTGAAACCTGAAGACTTTGACTAGGCCATCTTTATTACAAGTCACTACTGTTTTTCTGAAAGATACAACTTAAATAGCTGAATCTAAAATCGGAACTTTATAGCTCTGCAGAATTGCCATTCTTGAAGGAACTAAGAATTATAAAAAATAGCACTTTCAATTTTATTTTATATTTGCAATAAAGTGTGTGAAGACAGTGACGTGGGCTGGAGTGACAGGTTCTTTTGTTCATTAATTTATTTAAAAATCTCATTTATGAACCCCTTGTAGAGGTTTTGCAGTACTAGTGCTAAAGGGTTTTAATATTGGTTCAACGGTGTTTAATAACTAAATACTAGTTGTCAAATGGTAAAAGTTGAAGTTAAATTGGTATTTCAATAATTAGACTTTTAAAGATCACATTGTCCATTAAGTAAATACGCTAGAAGTTCATATGCTTTTTATAGATTTGAGAGAGAATTTAAGTGTGAGAGCAATTATCATGTAAGAGAATAGGTGAAATCCCGGGTGCTATTGCAGTCAGAGGCAAAACTACCAGGGGGCCAAAATTACACCCAATATTTTTAGTGCTAGCATATGAACTGGTAAGACACTTTATTGCATATTTTGGTATGGGACACAGGATGTGTATTAAATTTGATACATCATCTCTCTGCAGCAAAGACCAGTCCACCAAAATCAAACTAATTCAGCTCTGCATGCTCCTAGAGATGAAGGCAAGCAGCGTACGCAGTAAGTCACATTGCAGAGTACATCTGACAGGAGGAGGCAGTAATTAGACATGCATCAGGAGCATGCAACTTTAGGTCACATTAAGTATATTTCTCAAGTTTAAGGAGTAAAAAACCCTGCATTTGTTAAAGCATATGGAATTCTTAACACTGTCCTAGAAGTTTGAATTTCCTTTTGTATTTTATGCTAATGTACAACAAATTTTGCTAATTAAAGTCTAAGACAGAAGAGAGCTGTGCTTGGTAGGTAAGATAACATTATTTTGATGTTCTTTAACAGCATAAATAAATATTTGAACAATCATTCTTTCAGTTCATAATGGTTCTTATATACTTGAGAACTGTTTAATACTTTGGGTAGTAGGAAAAGGAGATACCATCTCACGACACAGTGCTAGCTAAGGTGAATTGACAACAGCTTGACTTAACATTTTCACTAAATACCCACATCACAGGCGAGGATCAGAACATGGTATGAGCTAGGATAACACATTCTCCATGCACCCTCAAATGCAAAGGGAATCCATTAATGCAGTGGTTCTCAACCAGGGGTATGGGTACCCTTGGGGATACGCAGAGGTCTTGTTTATACTGCTCTATACACTGAAATGTAAGTACAATATATCTATTCCAATTGATTTTATAATTATATAGTAAAAATGAGAAAGTAAGCAATTTTTCCGTGATCGTGTGCTGTGACACTTGTATTTTTACATCTGATTTTGTAAGCAAGTAGTTTTTAAGTGAGGCGTAACTTGGGGGTACTCAAGACTAATCAGACTCCTGAAAGGGGTACAGTAGTCCGAAAAGGTTGAGAGCCACTGCATTATGCATCCTCAATAGGCTGGCTTAGGTATAGACATCCATATAAGTAGGTGTACACTAGGAATTAATTCCATAAACTCTTGTCATCTCCTGAAATTTGCATTTCCACAGTTTACCTTCTCAGTCCTTATATCATTAATGTTATATGGGATTAAGAATTTTCTGAAAGTAAAGAATATGGATGGTAGGTAAAGAGAAGTGTTTACCTCTCCGTTACACTCCATTCTAAAGGAGATTCAGCAGCGTCACACACTCCTATATGGTAACCTTTACAAATAGAACACTTCCATTCACTGAATGCCAGCTAAAAATCAGAAGATACTTAGAAATTTTTAATTTGATGTGTGGGTACACCAGACAAATCCCTTTCATTCTTGATGGCTGAAGAGTTCAGGCTCATCATGCCTTCAGAGGTATGAGAAATGAAGTGGAATTTTTCAAATTTTCGTTATGACTTGTACCATTGAATGAGTGAAAAATTATTCACAAGTCAGCTTTCAATATCAAAGATATTGACTCAAACTGGGATATAAAAGTTTTAGGTGAGATTTCTTTTTAAAAAGGTGCATTTAAGCAGCATCTATGCCGATTGTAGTTTGTTCTTTCCACTAACCATGGACATACTCCAATAGGTGGGCTTTAATATGGTCACAAATCTTGACGTACCACAATGAGCACACCATTGACCTGTGTTGCCTATAGCTCAGAGCTGTTCTCTGTTTTGTACCATACAAAACACAGTCTGTTGATCTAAACAATGGGTGGGTGGCTCAGAAGAAAAACTGACAAGAGAGACAGTCTGCTAAGACACAAATTTAGCAGCATTATGTTCATCCTTGGCAGGGGTTCTGTGGGAAAATAGTATGTGATCATGTAATTCAAGACTGTAGTATAATGCATACACACAAGGGGTCTGAATTAAGGCTGAACAGGCAACCTTAATTTTGGCATTTACTAATTTCTGAGTCCTTGACTTTGCAACCTTAATGTTCTTTTAATACAGTTTTAGATGTGTAATGTATCTGTAGGTGGGGTGCACTGTGCATGTTTAGTATATTTACTAAATTGTTTCACTGTAATTGAAATCAGGCAGGTAATACCTGAAGGCCCTAGCATAAGAAATTTAGCACACATGACTGAACAATTCTTATTAGCCACAGTTGTTCATAAAGAAATACTTACAAAGTCTGCTGGGAGGTGGAGTTTGTAAAGCTGTAAAATGGACTGCAGCAAATTGGACACTTGACTGGAGACTAAGACATCTTTGCCTAGCTTCATACTGTCCATCATCCTTCTCTGGCTTGTAGCCACCTGTACATTCCATTTATCCGTATCGGCAATAATACAGACAGCTTCTGCTATGGGCTCATCTAGTACTGGATGCTGTAATAGGTACAAAACAAGAACACTAGCTATTCAAAACATTTTCAACTGGTGTTCACAACTGAGACTAAAAGGCTTCATTAGCACTTAAGTTTTGCGGGGGAGGAGTGGAATGATAAAGTGGGAAGAGTGTTTCAAAGAAGTGAGACCCAACATTTGTTTTTGTCTAATAACAAAAGTTTTTATAAAAATAACGTGAGAACTGTGGAGAATTTGGATTGGATTTTGTTATGGTGAAATAACTAACAAGACAAACTTGATTTGGGACCAAAGTAAAAATACGCAAGTCAGATGGGTTGATTTTTTTCTTTTAAAAAAAGATGGGTGTGAAAGAGACAGCTATATACTAAGTGCCAATTTCTTTATACAAAAGGAATCCCCAGCTCCCATATTAGACCAGCTTTAGTGCTGCTTTCTCTTACAAGGGAGGCACAAAGGGTTAGACTGGGGGCTAAAGCTGCGGCCTGTGTGTTTCAAAGACAAATTTCTGTTCTGTAAGTGTGGAAAAAATTGCAATTTCATCGCTCAATTTAAAACACTCCATTAGAGAAGCACGGTTCTTTTTACTGCTTACTTCCTGCACTGCTACAGATAGCTAAAAGCACTTAATGTCTGCAACTAGGGCTTGTTAATCTTTAGTCGGCATTTACTGTGCAACTATAAATGTTAATTTAGTGATAGATCAGTTAGAATAAATTACTTGTTTTGAACGTACAAATAGAGTAAAAATCAGACATTTTAGACATGGTCTAACACACAATGAAGCTTGTACTTATGGCCAACTAATCTGCACTCAGTTATCTGTGCTAATGACTGGCAAAATCTCCGTCCCTACAAGATTTCTCATCTCCATAGTAACATGTACTGTAGTAGGTGGTAACTGCATTAACAAGCTTCCAGGCACCTGCAGACCATCTTAGTTGTGTACACTGCAATGCAGTCAGCCTGTTAAGGTGACTGAAAAGGGAAGCACTTCAATATTATATTTTTCCTATTGTAAAGAATAATCCTGTTAAACTTTTCAAGTTGTAAGTAGAGAATTAGATATTTTCCTCCCCCCCCATTAATGTTTGCATTATAAGATTTATACAGTACAAATGAAAGAGCACATGTGAAAGAGGTGTGTGTGTGTGTGTGTGTGTGTGTGTACTGTCAGATGTTCTAAGAGTCAAGAAGTGTGAAGTCTCCATATTGGTCACTAACAACTGGTTTTATTGAACAGTAGCTATCCTCTATCTTTTCCCCATCCAGAAAATGTTCTCAGTAAGATCATATCATTCCTACTATTAGAGGTCAGTGGCTCTGAAAAAATGTAGGGAAACCTACATGCACTGCATGAAGCAGATCTGTTGGTAACCACTGCTTGAGTTTTTCATCATTACTTATTCCATGCAGTACCAGATCAGGCATGTATGTGGGACAGTAACCACCGAGAAGTGACCTTCCAAAGTTTTTCACACTTGGACTGCTGATTGTGTTGGATCTGAAACAGAAGAATATGAAGCCCATTCAAAAGCCAAGAGCATAGCCACCCTTCAGATATCTCTCCCCACTCCTCCTATAGGCACAATAAGTATGGTGAACTTGTCAGCATAATAGACTTGTCACAAGATCTTCAAATACATGAAACTGATGCAATTCTTATCTGACAGGCTACATTTAGATGCTGTTGAGAGACCTGACATTAACTAGCCCTCAGGTTTACTCTGTGCCTGGATCTGTAGCCTGTTTAAATTTACATAGCAAGTCCTCTGGCATTTAAAATTAAGCAGTACTAAATGAAGCCACACAAGGAAAAAAGAAACAATGAAGCAGAGTTAATATTGGTGTACCTAAACATTCCCTGACTAATTTTAAACAGTTCAAAACATTTTAATTTTCTAGATTTTAAGAAAAGAAGACAAGTCTGCAACTGTTAGGCCTTGTGGAATATATAAGTTCCCTGTTTTGCAGCTAGTTGGCTTGCTGAGCTTGAGAGTTCATTGCTTGGTTCAGTGAACACTTAACTAAATGCATATGCAGTCTCCAGCAAAGCAAACGCATCCGTCTTGAATCAGAATTATGCTTGCATTAAATTTTAGACTTCATCCGTGTACCAAAAAGTGTGATTAGAATTTTTCTACTCTCCCTAAACTCAAAAGGATGAGAAAAGTATTTTGCTCAAACTTTCACAGATGTTCACCTTCTGCCAGAGGACAAACATGGAAAATTTCAGCTTTAAGGGAACAGTTTTCAAGACCCTAAACAATAATAAAGCCCAAATAACTGGCTGAGTGAAGTTCATAGAGCTCTGCCTGGTCATAATGGCTCTCCTGCACTGTTCAGAATTTAAATGGTAAAAGATGTATGTGGGGGATGGAGATGTTAGAATGGAAATTTAATAGCAACTTCTAGCAAATATTAAAAGTAACTTTAATGTAAAGTAGTCCAGGTCAATCTTAGGAGGTTTATTTTGTTTGTTTTTGTTTTTAAATAAATGAATTTAAATGTTCATGCTGAGTAGACAGTGAAGTTTTCAATTTAAAGCAAAGGCAGCAACTATGCACACTCCCTACCCCACCAGCATGTGTCTTAGCCCTGCTGAAGGACCAGAAATCTCTGAGAAAAAAAGCCCTGTCAAATAAACAATTCTTTTGGCAGACAGTCAGTGTATCATCCTACTCAATCTCTGCCTTTTGCTGAGACTGCCAACAAGGGACACAGTTGCAACAGCAATTTTTACAGTACAGACACATCAGCAAGAAACTGAGTTGAGACCCCATGCATTTCACAGACCACTGAACAGCTCTTGGGTAGCAACAGCGTTTGACCCCAGTTGGCACAAGATTCACTCAAATACATTCTTTACCTTGGTAAAGGAAGTTCTACTTCTGTAAATTCTTCATGCCTATTGCTGACATGGCCTCGAGGGTGTAGATCAGAGATACATGAAGCACCATCGTCGTCGCTGTCTCCAAGTGCACTATCTGAACTCTCATTCCTAGGAATATCCCCTTCGATTCGGAAGGAGATTTTCCTTCCAGTATCCCCATAGGGGACATCTTCAGTGAC